ACAGAGACTGGTTAGGATCAGGTTGCTCTCCAGAGCAGACAGAGATTCTAAATTCAGGCTGAGGCTCAGGTTCCGCTAACCAAAACTGGTCAACACTCCGGCGCTGAAGAGAAGTCAAGCCGCTGCTTATATAGTTGGTCTCCTGATCAGATGAATCAGCCTCAGGTGTGCAGGTGGCTTCAGCTCACGAGACCCAGGGCGCTCTCTGCTGGAGAAAGGTTTGCAGATCTCCAGATCCCAACAGTTGATCAATTGTGACTGGCTTAATTTGGAGAGTTCTCCTCTCTCAACCGACATGATGACAAGATGGTGAAGCCTGTCTTGCCTCATTGTGTTCCTCATAATTCTTTTATGATCTTAATTACATTTCTGTCCACCAGGATTCATATTGTTATTAATTATTGTTTTCTGAATCAAACGAAAAGTGCTTTGAAATGACGTGTTGTGAGTTATCGTTACAGTACTGTATATAAATACACTAAATTGAATTTGTAATATTGATGCAAATTTTCATAGGGAAAAACCTAGTAAAAATAGGAGAGTGGCAATTGACCTAATGATAATATTCGGCAAAGTTCTTGTTCAATAATTTAAGTTCTCATCGTCCTTACCCTTTTTTCAATATGGGTTGAAGAAATGAAATTAAATCCATTCAGTATTTCCAAAAGTACAAACAATAAAGCTATTAAATACACATCAGTGCCTTAAATTAATCAATATTTTTAATTTACTATGACTATTTTTTCTGTTTTTTCTGTACTGATTGTCTAAATGTAGATACCAACCTTCTGTTCTCAACCTTCTTTTCTTTCCATCTGTTTTAACTTCCCTCTTTTAGGAGAGAACTGATGAATATGTGTCAGTAGTTGTCAGCACATTTCGAGGCTCTGTGGCATTGCTAACCTTCTCAGATCTTTGTAAAGTTTGATGACCTCTTCACTGAAAACCATCTGAGGTTCTGAGAATGGGAGCAACAGCAAGCCACACTCTATGCATTTCCTCAAATTATCCTTTTTTTACTTTGTCTTTTAAACCTTAATCTCCCAACAGACAGAATATGGACACCTGTGGTCTCTGAAGTGAAATGTTTGGTGTAAATAAATAAAAATACTTGGCCTTAAATGCTCCCCTATTGCTAACTCAGGCTGTGCTCTGGCTCTTCTCATATTGAATTATTTAAATTGCCAACATTAATGATCCAAAATCAACTCGGAACACAGACATAAAGGTGCATTTCATTACATTGAAATATTTCCAATAAGCGGATTAACTTAAAATTTTAAACACAAATTTTTTACAGCAACCCTTTTTGCAAATCTAGGTAATAATGGCTTTTCCCCACTCAAAATCAAGTTTTCCTCCCTAAAAATGAAGGCGTTACACAATTAAAATGTGTTTTGGTCACAAGCCTATATTATGGTGGAAAACTTCTATATGGGAATTTTTTCATTATCACTGATATCCTCCATTAGAAGGAAAGTCACAACAGGTCAGTGCTAAAGACGTGTAACGGGGTAACTGCAGCAAGAGAGGATTGTTCAACAAAGCTGACTGAAGAATCTGATGTGGACAGTTACAGCTGTTGTCTTTGACAGAAGTGTCTAATCTTTTAGGGCAGAGCCAGTGTTGCTCAGTGGTTCATCTTTGTGTTTTTTTTAAATGAAAGTGAGTTAATTTATTCTGGAAATTAAGGTCTTAAAGTTTAAAAGAGTTAAGAGGTACCTTCTCCATGCTGTAGAAGAAGAGAGTTAGGATAACGGGCTTTCTGTAAGTCTGGGGAAAATAGGTGATATAATCTGCCCAGAAATTAACTCTAAAATAACATATCCTAGATCACAATGAATGAACTATTGCTGTTAAAATGCTTTATTCATTACGTAGCAGAAGAAGTAAGGAACAAAATAACACTAAAATGAACAAAATGAATCAAAGTTCGTATCCCATGGAGGTGTTGCACAGGTTTACCAGAAGATTATGAATATTAAATAACTAGAACTAGAAGTTATAGTTAATTAGTAGGTCATTCAAAATTGAGGTTAAAACTCATTAATGTTCATTAGTTGAATGATTTTAACTGTAATTTGCTTACGCACCAGGTGTCTTAGTCAATGAATCAGGAATGCATTAAACTTTGATGAAGCTGAAAGAGCTTCACTGGTCCTAGGGGGTCTGGTCCAGGCGGGTCCAGCTGAAACAAAGGAAAGGTTGGAGCTCACAACGTGGCCTCTACAATGTGGCCAGGCATGAGCTAGCTGGGAGCTGACGATGCTAGCCAGTCTACTTTAGCAGTCTCTTCAGGCTCACGCTGTTCTGTCATTTCAGTGAGCATTGACATCCTGTTAAAAACCCTGAAAACCAACAGCAGTTTAATCTGAAAGAAAATTTAAAATAAAAAACAAACACATGCACAACTAGACTCATTAAGCATCTACCAGTATATTTCTCTGGTCGCTCTGGAGTATAGGTTGCACCAATGGCCAAAACATGGAACAAGTGTGACTTATAGAATGATAAATACTGCATATTTTCAACAACCTCAAACAGACAGAAGGCAGAGATGACACAGACTGCATAAAACTATTGCAGCCAGGACAGTGATTTATACTACTTATATGGAAGCTCATTGGTAGAATTCCCTTATGACAGAAAGAAGGCCACGATTCACACCATTTTATCATCCGGAGGGGGAACACATTTAATTACAAAACCGAATTCATACAGCTGTCTTAAACACTTCATACATCCAGCACTGCATCGTCACAATTTAGTTATCCCCCAACCTTTAGTCCATTCTAGGCTGCATTTATAGTTTCCACATCGCATTACGTAACTGCACATGCACAGGAATATCATGTCGAAAGCTTACTGGAATTCACGTGTGCTGGTCGATGCCAGCGGTTGATTTGACACTCGGAGGAATGTTTATACATATGTTCTCTGTTTATGCTGTAGAAGCAGTTTTATTGTCTTATATCATATCAGAATCAGAAATCAGAATCAGAATGTATCCTACAACATGGCCCTATACTTACTTAGCAACAAAACAGTACAAGTTGAAGTTCAAGTATGAGTCTTAGCAATGATAAACTCTCTAATGCTGTAGAATATAAATATCTGGCTGGCTTGCCAAATATGGAAGCAGTTGTACTGTGTTATGTAGTCCTGTTTCTGACCTTATGCCCACTTAGCTACACAGAGAATGCAACATGTAAACAGGGAGTCTACAAGCTGGGAGTCACGTACGAATCTTGGCAAAAACAGGGTTCATACTGGCTGACTCGCACACAATCAGGTCATGAGCTAAGAGATTTCCAGGAAGAGTGTCCAGTCGTGTACGTGCATCCACACAATGCGATGTGGAGCCTATAAATGCCGCCCACAATGGGCGGCATTTATAGGCTGGGGGAAATAATAGATGTGAGGACATAGCGCTGAATGTATGAAGAGTTTAAGACAGCTGTATGAATTCGGTGTTAAGAAGCAATAAGATTTTCTATAATGTTCAGGTTCTAGAGTGTGTGTATGTGATTCTTTTGTTTTTTGAATTGTTTGTTACCTTTGT